AACGCCCTCTCTCTCTCTCTCTCTCTCCCAATGACCAAGCTGTGTGTGGGTTTAGCTGGTTAGACTCCAGCAGTTACCCCAACGCACACTCTGGGCTCCCCCCCCCCACCCCCCCACAAGCCTTGGCTCTCGCCAACCCGGCCTTAATACTCCCTGTTATTAGGTAAGCGGGATGCGTCCTGAGAGAGAGAGAGAGGGAGATTGCAGCCATCACCAGCAGCCTCCCCACACAATACACAATCCAGTAAACAAGCTGTGATTTACCGTGAGATTGTTTCTCTGCGCTGCTTATTAGCTGTGCAATTAAAGTCTCCCTTTCAGCCCCAGTCACTCGCTTCCTCCAGCAAATTGGTTTCTCTCTGAGATGTGTTCACCAGAGGTCAATGGCAAGAGATCTCAGTGAAGATCCTTCCCCCCGGCCTGGCTTTCCATCGGTGATGCTGAGGAGGCGCTTAGCACTGTCCTTTGTAATGCGTTTATAACTGGAGTCCCCCAGCCTTGTGGTTAGCATCGCAAGCGAGAGGGGCTGGGTTCAATTCCCAGGCGGGTCGGGGCAAAACCTTAGGCAAGCTTCCTTACTACACACACACACACACACGCGGCTCTGTTTACCAGCAGTCAGTAGGAACCCGGTTATTAGTCGATTGGTGGATCACATTCCAGTTTCCAGGGGTAATAATCCCTTAAAAAAATGATGATAATAATTTGGTCGCTCAGTCCATGACTGTTTGAGGGTCACTGCTGTGTGCAATTGGCTGCTGCATTTCACTCACAAAATATATAGTCACTTCACTTTATATCCTGCGAAGCGCTTTGAGACGTCTCAAGGATGTGAGAAGGCACTATATCAAATGCAAGGATTATTGTTATGATGATGTTACTTTACAGTCAGTGCCGGTGAATCACTTTGAGACATTTTAACAATGAGGGAAGACGCTGCATTGAATGCAAGGATTATTATTTATCTCTCTCCCTGGGAGCTGAGTCAGAATTATTATCGGATAACTTTATCCCTTTGCCTCTGTAAATAACAGTAAGACAATTTTAACCTCTAAATACAATTATAAAATGAAATGATGTATTTAAATCCGCATTACATTCCCTCTGCATTCCCTTTGAGACCTGAAAAGGGAGAAAACTGGCAACTGTGAAGCAGAAAAAGCAGAAGAGGGTTTTGGCTTCGCTCTCTCCAGCTCACTGAGCAGAATACTCCTAATAACTGGGGAAATAATCACAGTTCAGCACAGGTCTCGTTGTGGAATCCTGTAGCTCAGTGGTTAGACCCCTCGCCTCGCAAGCAAATGGACCCGGATTCGATTCCCGGGCGGGTCAGGACAAAACCTTCGGCAAATTTCCTCATTCCACACATACGCACACAGACACACACACGCGCCTCTGATTACCAGCAGTCAGTAGGAACCCACTTGGTTAGTCGATTGGGGGATCACTTTCCGGGGGTAATAATCCCTTCGAAATAATAATAATAATGTGGTCGCTCAATCCGCAATTGCGGGACGGTGCTGTGCCCAATTGGCTGTTGCATTTCGCCCACAAAATATTCAGTCGCTGCACTTTACTGTGTATTCTGCGAGGCGTTTTGAGATGTCTCAACGACGTGACAAGGCGCTGTGTCAAGTTGCGAGGAATTTTATTATCACTAACGTAAATGTATGGAACGGGCTCCCGAGGGAGACAGAGAGAGGGTGGATTCTTTCAAGAACAAATGCCATCGATTTCTGTCAGGAAATAACACCCGGGGGGGAGATACGGTGCACAGTTTGGGGGCACCACATGTCGAGCGACCGCCCGGATGGTGGAAGTCGACCTGGGTGGACCTCGGTCTTCTTTCTTCTGTTCGTATTGTGAGCCTGAGGGGCTGTGTTCCCTGTTGGGGCTGCGCTGGAGCTGTTCACGGTTATTGATGATGTGTTTTAATATCCTCTCAGTGTAATAATGTTTCTGGCTGGACTCAATTCTGCGTCTGGCGAGGCTGTGACTGGCAAGCAGCCACGACCAGCACACATGGCATCGCATATTGACAGGCAATTTATCAGGCAATTTGTGCAACTCGTATCATCAATACCGGGACACACGACCGGCTCATACAATAAACAATACACCCAGCCACCAAACGCTCCCCTCTGCAGGCGGCTAATCTCTCTGTGGCTCAAGGAAAATCTCTCTCCCGTTGCCAAGGCCGTAATACTAATAATCCTCGAATTTGATACAGCGCCTTATCACGTCGTTGGTACGTCTCAAAGCGCTTCAACGGATGCACTGTAAAGAGCTGTGGAGTGAGTGACCGATTGCCGTGTGCAACTGGCTTTGAGACATCGCAACGTGTGATAAGGCGCTGTATCAAATGCAAGGATTACTATTATTATTATTATTAATGATTATTATAGTGGCTGCTGAATGCATTGGGGCTGGTTTGGTTAAAGTGAAATAAAACGCTGTGCTGTATCCAGATGCACCAATCTGACCAGATTATGGACAAGCCGGTTTGACAGCCCTGAAATGGCTGTTTGAGAATTCCTCGGCTGCCCTAATAACAGCATAAACACAGGCTGTGAGCAGCAGGTGGAGGGGACTGGAGAACCACAAGCTTCATTTGTCACAGAGATTTGAAACTTCACGGCTGGCTGGCTGAAGCCGCCCTTTGGTAAACAAGAAAATGAATCCTCGTCACCCACTGGCAAGCCAGTCAGTAAACTTCCGCACGCCGAGACGTTTCATACAGAGGCTCAGCACGTCCTTCAGACGTCTCAGAGCGCTTCCTGGGATGCACTGTAAAGTGGAGTGACTTTGTATCTTGTGGGTGATACGCGGCAGCCCGTTGCGCCCACCGACGTCCCCACAAACAGCCGTGGGATGAGTGACCGCATTATTATTATTATTATTGTTTTGAAGGGATTATTACCCCCGGAAAGTGATCCCCCAATCGACTAACAAGCGGGTTCCCACTGACTGCCGGGGACACAGGTGTGTCCACACACAGGTGATGTGTGTGTGGAGTAAGGAAACTTGCCCAAGTCTTCACCCTGACCCGCCCGGGAATCAAACCCGGGTCCTCTGGCCTGCGAGGCGAGGGCTCTAACCCCTGAGCTACAGGATTCCTGTTTGAGGTTGTGGGTTCAGGTCCCTTATCGGAGACTTTGAGTTCACAGTCTAGACCGACCCACCAGCACATTACTGGGGGGAGTGTTGCTTTGTCAGAGCGTCAGTCCTTTGGATGGATGTTGGAGTTACAATGCTGTGGGGAAAGAGAAGGAGGTTTCTCTCTCTCTCTCTCCCCCCCGGGGTCCTGGCCGACAATCCCCCAGATAAAAATGAGTCATTACTTCACTGCTGTTTGTGGGATTTAATTGTACAAACTGACTGCCATGTTCACCCTCCACCAGTCAGTACAGTTGACAGTAATTAAAGTTTGAGATGTTTCAGAGTAATAAGACACTAATAACGTACATTGTCTGACAAATGCACTGACACCGAGCACAGACATCAGCAAAGACATATAAAGATGTTCACCAGAGAAAGAGATGTTTCAGGAGGTTTGGTGTGTGTGTGTCTGTGTGCGTGAGGAGAGAAGGGCTAGAACTGTGTGTTTGTGTGTGCGTCGCTGTGTGTCGGTGTGTATGTGTGTGTATTTCTGTTTAGTTTAGAGATGTGGCTGTTTTAATAATAACCCTTGCATTTAATATAGCGCCTTATCATGTCATTGAGACGTCTCAAAGCGCTTACAATATGCTGTAAAGTGTCGTTACTGTATTTTGTGAGCTTAAGGGAGCCCAGAGTGTGCGTTGGGGTAACTGCTGGAGACTAACCAGCTAAACCCACAGCTCGGCCATCGAGAGAGAGAGAGAGAGAGCGCTGTCTGGCCAAGCTTTCCCGCTGCTTGTCCAGCTAGGACACCCCTCCCCGCTAGTTAGGGCTTTGGCTTGCGGGGTTAACAGGGAGGATTCCCTGCCCCCAGTGACTGTCTGTGTTCCAACGGGTTAAAGATCTGAGAAAAAGATGGAGAAACAAACTGTATTTTATCACTTTAAACGGATCTCTGATTAAGTTCACCACAAATGGCGATTTAACGAGAGCGGTAAATAATTCAATAAGTTTCACACTGAACTCCTAGTTTTCAATTATTCTTGTTATGAGTTTTTCCAGTTGATTTTAGTGGAACTAATTATCATGAGACATTCACTAAAATTGTGCGCTTTTACTGAACTTTCCTATCAGTTCAGAGACCCAGGAACTCCCTCCCTCAGTCCCTCCGCCCTGCCCCCTCCTTGTCTATCTTCAGATCGCACCTGAAGACCTTCGTCTTTGACTGTGGCTACGGTCATCTCCCCTCATTGTACACGTGACATCCCATCAAATAGCCGTGACATTGAAGAGGTCTGTCCAAGCCAAGGGACTGGACACTGCTGGTGACAGACGGGTCTCGTGACAGCCCGACTGTTCCCTTTAAGAGGAGAGAGGTTTGACGGAGAGGCTTATAGTTACAGAATCCTGTAGTGTAGTGGTTAGAGCGAGAGGTCCTGGCTTCGCTTCCCGGTCAGAGCGAAACCTTAGACAAGCTTGCTGAATCCACACGCACGCCGTTGTCTTCCCAGCAGTCAGTAGGAACCCGCTTGTTGGAGGATCCCTTTCCGGGGAAACAATTGCTTCAAAAACAATCAATCAGTCAACCAATCAATCAATCAGTCAACCAATCAGTCAACCAATCAATCAATCAAAGTTTTAAAAATGTGATCCACCTTTGTGGGGACGTCGCTGGGCACAGTTGGCTGCCGCGTTTTGACCACAAAATATGCAGTCACTACACTTTACAGTGTGTCCAGTGAAGCGCTTTGAGACATCGGGGAGACCTGTTGAGGCTCTGTATCCAATGTAAGGCTTATGATGATGATGATGATGACGACAACGATGATGATGATGGTGTGGCCACTCTAGTGTGGGAGCTACACTGATCTCTCTCTGATCTCTCTCTGGTCTGGTTACAGATGACCCTCCTCTGGGGTTGCGGGACGTGCTGCTGCGGGAGGGGCCGGAGGGCTTTGCGAAAGCCGTGAAGCAACACCAGGGTCTGCTGCTCATGGACACCACCTTCAGGGACGCCCATCAGTCTCTCCTGGCCACCCGCGTCCGCACGCACGACCTCAAGAACATCTCCCCCTTCGTAGCTCACAACTTCCAGAAGCTCTTCAGCATCGAGAACTGGGGAGGTGAGTGTCTGTCCAGCCCCCAGCCCAGCTCAGCCCCCAGCTCAGCCCCCAACCCAGCCCCCAGCCCAGCTCAGCCCCCAACCCAGCCCCCAGCTCAGCCCCCAGCCCAGCTCAGCCCCCAGCCCAGCTCAGCCCCCAGCTCAGCCCCCAACCCAGCCCCAGCTCAGCCCCCAGCCCAGCCCCAGCTCAGCCCAAGCCCCCAGCCCAGCTCAGCCCCCAGCCAGCTCAGCCCCAGCTCAGCCCCCAGCCCAGCCCCCAGCCCAGCTCAGCCCCCAGCTCAGCCCCCAACCAGCCCCCACTCAGCCCCAGCCCAGCTCAGCCCCAACCCAGCCCCCAGCTCAGCCCCCAGCCCAGCCCCCAGCTCAGCCCAAGCCCCAGCCCAGCTCAGCCCCCAGCCCAGCTCAGCCTCCAGTCCCCAGCTCAGCCCCCAGCTCAGCCCCCAGCCCAGCTCAGCCCCCAACCCAGCCCCAGCTCAGCCCCCAGCCCAGCTCAGCCCCCAGCTCAGCCCCCAGCTCAGCCCCCAACCCAGCTCAGCCCCCAACCCAGCTCAGCCCCCAACCCAGCTCAGCCCCCAGCTCAGCTCAGCCCCCAGCTCAGCCCAGCTCAGCCCCAGCTCAGCCCACCTCCCCCAACCAGCTCAGCCCCAGCTCAGCCCCAACCCAGCTCAGCCCCCCAGCTCAGCCCCAGCTTTGTGGAGTCCTGTAGCTCAGTGGTTAGAGCACTCGCTTCAATTCCAGGCAGAGGGCGAAACCTTGGGCAAGTTTCCTTACTCCACACAGAGCCTAATAACAATCCCTCCAAAACCAAAAACAATAATAAATTGGTCATTTTCAATCTACGACTGTTTGTGGGACATTGCTGTGCGCAATCGGCTGCCGCGTTCGCCCACAAATATACAGTCAATTCACTTTACAGTGTGTTCTGTGAAGTGCTTTGGGACGTCCTCCCGACGTGAAAAGCGCTATATCAAATGCAAGGATTATTATTATTATTATTAGCTCAGCCCCCAGCTCAGCCCCCAGCCCAGTCCCCAGCTCAGCCCCCAGCCCAGCCCCCAGCTCAGCCCCCAGCCCAGCTCAGCCCCCAGCCCAGCTCAGCCCCCAGCCCAGCCCCCAGCCCCCAGCTCAAGAGAGGGGGCGAGTCAGAGGAACTGTGGGATGGAGTTCCAAAGGATGGGGGCAGAGAGGCTGAATGCCCGCCCGCCGATGGTGGGCCGGGCTGGGTGGGCAGAAGACGGGAAGCAGCCCGGAGTTACCGCATGGAGAGGCGTTTCACCCACAAAACACACTTTACAGCGTATCCTGCGAAGCGCTTTGATAAGGTGCTGTATCAAGTGCAAGGATTATTATCACTTGGAAATGCCTCCTCCTCACCTTGCGATGAGAGAGAGAGAGAGAGAGAGAGACGGAGAGAGGTTTGAGTACATTTACGCTGACTTAACACGGGTATAATTTATGGAAATTAGACAGCACTTGTACTAAAAGGTTATGAAATGTAAATGTGGGTTTGATTGTTTTTCTCGTGTGATCCCTTTGATATACAGACTAAGTAGTTTAAGAGGAGCTTTGAAGAAGCTTTTATTCCTGTTTAATGGAGAATCCTCAGCGTTTAAACCACTGGCATACAATGCAGTATCCCGCTCACACAGACTCTAATTTTATTCCTATTAACTCAAGCTACGAAAGTGCTCGTCCCACTGAAATCATTTGTCACTCACACTCCGTCCGTCCACTGATAAGTCTCTCTTTTTGTCCTTTTCAATGACTGTGGTGTTAAAATAAGAGTCAAACTACATACTGTGTAGATAAGGGGCAGAGAGTGAGTCAGGTTTAATATCCTCTTTGTCTGATTAACCCTTTTCTTTTACATATGGATATTAGTGTTTGAGCAGTGAAGCTGACCTCATGCTGAGCAGCTGATAACCTTACTAACCGGCTCGGGCTCGGGCTCCTCGGGCTCGGGCTCCTCGGGCTCGGGCTCCTCGGGCTCGGGCTCAGGCTCCTCAGGCTCGGGCTCGGGCTCCTCGGGCTCGGGCTCCTCGGGCTCGGGCTCCTCGGGCTCGGGCTCCTCGGGCTCGGGCTCCTCGGGCTCGGGCTCCTCAGGCTCGGGCTCGGGCTCCATGTAAACCAAGCGTATAGACATTGCGACTCCCGCCATGGCCCCGGTCATCGATCTCCGCTCCGAGGTCACGCTGACCAGAGCTCAACGGGCAAACAGTCGCATAGTCCCTACACCCCACGGCGTGTCCTGCGAAGCGCTTTGAGGCGTCTGGGAGCCGCGAGGCGGGGCGGGGTCAGCCGCGAGGGGCTGCCATGCGGGGGGGGTCTCGTTGCTGAGGCTGTGGTTGTTGACAGCGCTGCGCTCCAAGCTGCTGAAGCACACCAGGCTGAACGTCGTGGCCTTCCTGAACGACCTGCCCAAGACCCAGCACGACATCGCTTCCTTCGTGCTGGACGTCAGCACACAGACGGTAAGCCGGTGGCTATCGGGGTCGGGGGGGGGGGGGGGGGTAGAGTTCAAGGTCTTCTTCCTCACCTTCACAGCCCCCCCGTGGCCTGGCTCCCCCCTCCCTACCTCTGGGAGCTGCTGAACCCCATATCATCCTGTCCACTCTCCCTCCGCTCAGCGGGCTCCGCCTGCTCCACGTCCCCCCGCCTCGCCGCCCCCCCCCCACCATCGCCTCTCTGCCCCCACCCTCTGGAACTCCATCCCACAGTCCCTCTCCCTCCCTTCTTCAAGGCCATCTCAAGACCCTCTTCGACCGACTGCGCCTTCGGTCACCCTCCAACCCCCCACCCCCCCCGCCCACCTCCCTGCCCCTCATCCCCGCCCTCCACCCCCTCCTGATCCCAACCCCCTGTTCAGCTCGGGTCCAAATCCCTGACTGTCCAGAGCCTTGGGCCGTCCTCCCTCCTGACGGGGAAGGCAGGCGCTGGGGGAATGCCGTGTGTTGTTGGGTTGTTATTGTTGTGAAGGGACAGACGGCTGTTGCTAAATGTGTGAATCTCTGTCGTTATTGGGGTTAAATTCTTTCTTCCTCGTCCACTAATGTCTTATTTCCTCGTCTGTCTCTCTCCCTGATTTCCTTCACTTGCCACAACTTGTTCACCTCCCAGTGTGTGTGGTTTGTGTCTGTTTGTGTCGCTGCCTGTTCCCAAACCAAGAGCCCCCCTGTAGCTCAGGGGTTAGACCCCTCGCCCGCACCCCACAGCCCTGTAGCTCAGGGGTTACACCCCCCGCCCCGCACCCCACAGCCCTGCAGCTCAGGGGTTACACCCCTTACACCCCCCGCCCCGCACCCCACAGCCCTGCAGCTCAGGGGTTACACCCCTCGCCCCACAGCCCTGCAGCTCAGGGGTTAGACCCTCGCCCCGCACCCACAGCCCTGTAGCTCAGGGGTCAGACCCCTCCCCTCACACCCCACAGCCCTGTAGCTCAGGGGTTAGACCCCTCGCCTCGCACCCCACAGCCCCTGTAGCTCGGGGGTTAGGTCGCTCACCTTGCAAGCCAGAGGACCCGGTTTCAATTCCCCGCCGGGCAGGGTCAGGTCAGGGCAAAGCCGTAGGGCAGTTTCCTTACTCCCACACACATACACACACGCGCACACAGACAGACACACACACGCCTGTTCCCCAGCAGTCAGCGGGGACCTGGCTGTTAGTCGATTGGAGGATCACTTTCTGGGGGTAATAATCCCTCGAAAAAAATATGTGGTCACTCACTCCACGACTGTTCGTTGGCCGCTGCTGTGCACAATTGGCTGCCGTGTTTCACCCACAAATGCACAGTCACGACATTTTACAATATGTAATGTGAAGCACTTTGAGACGTCCTCCTGACAAGAAAGGCGCTGCTCTAAGTGCAAGGCTGACCCTGTGTGTGTGTGTGTCCGGATATTGGCTGTAGAATTGACATGACAGTGAGCTAACCACTTGTCTGTTGCCTTTCAGCACACACTACTGTGTTTCTCGGTGTACGGGGTGTTTAAGGAAGGTAAGGGCCGCTGATTACCTGGTGATTTATGTTCCAGCCGTTAGTTACCGGGGTTGGAAAGTGACGTTTTTCTCTTTGTTCGTTTCTGTTCTTTAGTTGACGGGAAATCGCGAGATTCTGTGAGAGCCTTCTCACGAGTGTTCGTGGCTGTGCCCGCTGAGAACGCAGGGTAAGGCTGGCGCTCCAAGGGTGAACACATCAAACACACACACCCTCACAGACACACACACGCGCGCGCACACACACGCGCACACACACACACACCCTCACAGACACACACACACACACGCGCGCACACACACACACGCGCACACACACACACATACCCTCACAGACACACACATGCGCGCAGACAGACAGATAGACACACACACACACACTGATCATCACACACAAAAAAATTCGGGCTAATTTTTTTAATTTAACAACACCGCAGAGATGCGCTGAGAATTTAGCATTTCTCTCCTGTTCGTCCACTCCCTCTTTCTTCCCCTCTCCCTCTCTCACACTCCCCCTCTCCCTCTCTCTCCCACTCCCCCCTCTCCCTCTCTCTCCCCTCTCTCTCCCTCAGGCTGTGTATCGTGAATGACCAGCTGTTTATCAGAAACGCCACCACAGAGGAGATCCGCAAGGCATTTGCCACCCCGGCCCCCACACCCTCCAGCAGCCCAGTGCCCACCCTCGCTGCCCCCCAACAGGAGATGCTCCAGGCCTTCTCTCTGCAGTCCGGCATGAACATCGAGTGGTCACAGAAGTGAGTGGCTCTCAGCGGCTTCCTGTCTCTACACGGTCATTAATAACAATAACAATAATCATCCTTGTGTTTGATGTAGACCCTCATCACGTCTTCGAGAAGCCTCGATATCCAGCAGCAAATAGAAACCCAATGGAGCCACATAAACCCCGATAAAAGCTGAAATCCCTGTAGCTCAGGGGTTACACCCCTCGCCTCGCAAGCCACAGCCCTTCTAGCTCAGGGGTTAGACCCCTCACAAGCGAGAGGACCC